ACTTGAATTGTATGAACGTTTAGGCACTCTTCTCCTCCTCTTCGTTGTAGCATAAGGTCTAAGGGATAGGTTTGGATTGGTGTTTGTATGGAGAATGGAGTGGGAAATTATGGAAATGGATGAGGAGTGGTGTTTGGATTATAAGGGAATGGGAGCTCACGGCAAGGAGTAATGGATGTGTTTGTGGTGTGTTGTGTATGAAAATGAGATGTCTTTAGGTAATGGGAATGCAAGGGTTTTTATAGGAGGAATGGAGGTGTATATGGCTGTTTGTTTAAGCATGCATGTGGCTGGAATGTGGTGGAAAAACAGCTAGGAAAGCATGTGAAAGCTGGAATTGCATGTGTGTGCATGTGTAAGCTGCCAAGATGGTGTGTGTATGCACGGGTATGGGTTTTTCAGGATGTTTTTGATGACTTTCTGGCTGCATGATGAAGAGTTTAATAAATAATGCATGTAGGTGGCTACAATGATGAAGAGTGAGAGCTGGAATGGTGTGTGTATGTGCTGGAATGGTAGGAAAATGCAAAGGGAGTTTGAAGGGAAGGCACGGCAAAAGGGAAGTTGGTGCTGAAATGGTTTTTGTTTTGCATGTGAATGTTGTTTGTGTGAAGTGTGTGTGAATGCATGTGGATTAAATGATTAAAGGGGGTGGAAGATAGATGAATGATAGATTGAATAATGAGGCTCTAGGGTGGAATAAATGGTGCGGCTGAGATGGGATGATGAATGAATGGAATTAGGCACGGCACAAAAGGGATTTGATTGCTGGAATGAAGTGTGTATGCACGGGTTGGCTTTCTCCCTTTGGTGTTGAATGATTATGGGTGCATGTGGGTGAATGTGTGGCTTAATGATTAAGTGAATGAATAATGAAATGGGAATGCATGTGGATTAGGTGGAATGTAGGGTGAATAATGATGAAGAAAAGCTGGAAATGTTAAGGGGGGAAAGCTGGAAATAAATGTAATGCACGGCAATGGGATTTTTGGTGGTGTAAATGCATGTGTTTGCATGTGAATTGAAGCTAGGGTGAATGATGATGAATGCATGTGGATTAAAGAATGAATGGTGGTGTAATGATGAAGTGAAATGGCTGGAAATGCATGTGATGCACGGCAAGGGATTGGTGTTTGTGTGAAGTGTGTGTGAATGGTGGTTTTTGCATGGCTTTAAGGATTGTTTTTGATGGAATGGATGGTTCTTTGCATGGCTATAAGGGAGAGAATAAGAGAGAATGGGCTAGGCCCTTTGTTGTATGTCCTAAAGTGCATAAATGGCCTTCAATTTCGTCCATCCTCTTGGCTCCATGGATAAGCTATCCAATCCATGCCCAAAAATGCTCCAAATAGCCTCAAAATGCACTTTCTTGCTCCCTAAGCCCTTAGAACCTGAAAACACACAAAAGAAGCATAAAGGACTAAAATAACTAGAGAAACATAACGTAAATGCACGAGAACAAGCCATTTAAGTCGCATGAATATGCTCCTATCAGGAAGTTATGCTTCTGTTTGTCTCTTTTAAAATTTGACAACTAAAAATTTAACGATCATGCGATTTTATGAGCCGATTCATTCTATAATTTTCGCCAACCGATAATAAGTGAATTATTGTTCCATGACACTTGGGAGAGAGGCATTTGTCATATGAATTTCTTTGACAATCCACCATTGGACAAGTGATCACTGTTATTATCAGCTGTCAACTTAGTTGGGTCCGAATTGTCAAAAGACCATAACTTTCTCTCCAAACCAAAGTTGGGTTAATTAAGAAACCCAAGTCTTCTGATTTACTTTGATTTTTCTTTGGGGCAATGGTCCATCTTCTCTGGTGACAGGACTAGGATATGGTGACAGAACTATAATAAATATTATAGTTCGTTTATTTATTAGATAATTGTTAAATGATTAAATGATCTTAGAGTTTGTTGAGTTTTAGTATATGAGAAATGCCAAAAATACTTTTAAAAGTAAGACTCTTCATAGAATCTATGCAACCTCATATTTTTTAAACAATGTTATATAATGTTGACATGAGAATTAAAAAGTGACTTAAAAAATCATTGTGCAACATTACAGGATGAAAATAGAGTGAATAATGTAGAATGAAAATTCAAATACAAAGATTTGAACACGTAACCTCCCCAAATAAATTGAAAACAAAATGCAATCAAATGATGATTTGCATAACCCTATGGATGGTCATTTACTTTTAACACGTAAAAGTTTGACATGTGCGCAAATATATTATTTATTTATTTTCTCAAATACAAGCACATTTTTTTTATTCAAATACAGAAACATTTAATGAATAAACTTGGCACAAAAAGTTAGCTCCCTTCACCCAATGATTTGATTTTCTCGCTAATACTTGCCATCATAGTTGAGGTTGGTTTTATTAGCTAATGCTTGAATTCCATATAAGATTTGACATGCTTGATTGGTATTTTGTTTCTTTTGAAGATGGAAGTTATGCTTCTGTTTGTCTCTTTTAAAATTTGACAACTAAAAATTTAACGATCATGCGATTTTATGAGCCGATTCATTCTATAATTTTCGCCAACCGATAATAAGTGAATTATTGTTCCATGACACTTGGGAGAGAGGCATTTGTCATATGAATTTCTTTGGCAATCCACCATTGGACAAGTGATCACTGTTATTATCAGCTATCAACTTAGTTGGGTCCGAATTGTCAAAAGACCATAACTTTCTCTCCAAACCAAAGTTGGGTTAATTAAGAAACCCAAGTCTTCTGATTTACTTTGATTTTTCTTTGGGGCAATGGTCCATCTTCTCTGGTGACAGGACTAGGATATGGTGACAGAACTATAATAAATATTATAGTTCGTTTATTTATTAGATAATTGTTAAATGATTAAATGATCTTAGAGTTTGTTGAGTTTTAGTATATGAGAAATGCCAAAAATACTTTTAAAAGTAAGACTCTTCATAGAATCTATGCAACCTCATATTTTTTAAACAATGTTATATAATGTTGACATGAGAATTAAAAAGTGACTTAAAAAATCATTGTGCAACATTACAGGATGAAAATAGAGTGAATAATGTAGAATGAAAATTCAAATACAAAGATTTGAACACTAACCTCCCCAAATAAATTGAAAACAAAATGCAATCAAATGATGATTTGCATAACCCTATGGATGGTCATTTACTTTTAACACGTAAAAGTTTGACATGTGCACAAATATATTATTTATTTATTTTCTCAAATACAAGCACATTTTTTTTATTCAAATACAGAAACATTTAATGAATAAACTTGGCACAAAAAGTTAGCTCCCTTCACCCAATGATTTGATTTTCTCGCTAATACTTGCCATCATATTTGAGGTTGGTTTTATTAGCTAATGCTTGAATTCCATATAAGATTTGACATGCTTGATTGGTATTTTGTTTCTTTTGAAGATGAAAATTATGCTTCCTTCCGTTTGTCTCTTTTAAAAATTGACAACTAAAAATTTAACGATCATGCGATTTTATTATCCGATTCATTCTATAATTTTCGCTAACTAATAATAAGTGAATTATTGTTTCATGGCACTTGGGAAAGAGGCATTTGTCATATGAATTTCTTAGGCAATCCACCATTGGACTCGTGATCACTGTTATTATCAGCTGTCAACTTAATTGGGTCTGAATTGTCAAAAGACCATAACTTTCTCTCCAAACCGAAGTTGGGTTAATTAAGAAACCCAAGTCTTTTGATTGACTTTGATTTTCTTTGGGCCAATGTTCCATCTTCTCTGCATAATTTTTGTATTAATTACTTTGGACAAAGCGTACAATCTCAGAACAAACATGCAATCATGCAAAGCCTTGAGAAGCTTTTTTATGTGCTTGTTCTTCTTATTCTCCCTTCTAAGAATCTCAGCTCCAACTGCACCGGGCACAATCACTCCGAATCGATATATAAGAGATGGTGAAACTCTGGTTTCGGTAGGTGGAAGCTATGAACTGGGATTCTTCAGCCCTGGTAAATCGAAAAGCCGGTACTTGGGAATATGGTACACTCTTTCTACTGATGCAGTTGTGTGGGTAGCCAACAGAGAAACACCACTTGGTGATTCTTTGGGACTTCTGAAGCTCACCGAGCAAGGAGTTCTGGTCCTCCTCAATAGCTCAAACAACATTGTGTGGTTATCAAATTCTTCAAGAATCGCGGGGAATCCAGTGTCGCAACTCTTGGATTCTGGAAATCTTGTGGTGCAAGATGAAAACGAAACTAACCCGGATAACTTCTTGTGGCAGAGTTTTGATTATCCTTGTCACACACAACTACCGAAAATGAAGATTGGTTGGGACTCAGTTACAGGTTTAGATAGGTATCTCTCATCTTGGAAGAGCACAGAAGATCCTGCTCCAGGAGAGTTTTCGATACGAATGGATTATCGTGGCTTACCACAAGTTCTTCTTATGAAAGGAGCTAAGATACAGGCTAGAGCAGGGTCATGGAATGGCGTTTATTTGACAGGACTAGGATATGGTGTCAGAGAACCAAATCCAATATCTACTTATGAATTTGCGTTGAACAAGGACGAGGTCTATTTTGAGTACAGCCTCCGAAGCATGTCAGTGTTCTCGAGAATTGTCTTGAACCCATTAGGGGTCGCAGAGCGGTTCATATGGGTGTACCAAAAACAGAGTTGGGAACTTCCCGCTACATTCCTAGCAGATCGGTGTGAAAGTTATGCCTTGTGTGGCCCATTTTCTAGTTGCAGTATCAATAATAACTCTCCGATATGTGCATGCTTGAAGGGATTTGTACCAAAATCTTCGAAAGATTGGAATTTGGGATATTGGTCCGATGGATGTGTTCGAAGGACTCCGTTGGCCTGCAGCGATGGAGATGGCTTCATAAAGTACAGTGGGATTAAATTGCCAGACACATCAACCTCATGGTTTGATAAAAGCATGAGTCTTAAGGAATGCAAGGGATTATGTTTGGGAAACTGCTCATGTACTGCGTGTGCAAATCTAGACATCAGGGAGGGAGGAAGTGGCTGCGTGCTTTGGTTTGATAACCTCACCGACATAAGAGAATTCCCTCCCGGCGGTGGTCAAGACCTCTATATACGGGTGGCAGCTTCAGAACGAGGTACGTCTTCGACCTTTATCTGCAGTATGCAAAGTAGGGTTTAAATAAGTTAGTGTTAAAATCACAGTTACTGCAACACTACGAGATCACATGAAAAGTTTGTTTTAATACAGATATTTCAGATCCTGCTAAGAAAAAGAGCAATTTCAACAAGAGAGCGCTACTAGCAATTCTCCTCATCTCTGCAGTTTTTCTCATGGGATTGCCAGTTGGAATGATATTGTGTATACGGAAGAAGAAACTCAGAAATGAAGGTAACTATTTTCGGACAGATTAAAAATGCATTAGATAAGGTAGTTAGTATTTAACTAGCGATGGTGCTCACACGATGCTGCGGGTTTTTAAACCATATAAAACATATCAAAAGTTCCACGTATATATACGATATGCAATATTTATGCATGTGATTGATGCCTTCTTAACCATTAACAGAACAAACTGAAAAAATGAAAGTCAAAAACTACACTTAAGTATAAATATAATTGCGGTCTGCAAATTCATTTCTAAGTTCTACAACTGCCACTTATTCCAAAACAACTACTTACTCGTCCTCTCCATCCTCTTTCTCTCCCTTCATAATCCCTGTCATTGTCTTTTTGGATTTTGGCAGCTAAACATGCTCATTTTAATATTCTCTGCATCCACATCATGAGGACCTTTTTGTACCTGAAGTTGCAGCACAATAACATGAGAAATCTTGCAATACAACACTACCAATTTTAAAGATCATAACATGCAGAGAGACAGTGACATGACAATCTTCCAAACAAACAATGGGGTTTAAGGAATGCATTTCAGAATACTACATACCCAAAATGTTGATTCCAAGTTGAGCATATAGAGAGAAGAAGCCATCCACAAAGTGTTAACCACCACGTGATATTGAAAGATGGTTTTGACGTGTTGGGTGATCCAGTAACTAATGCAAGTTCGAATCTAAGTTTAAATCCCTATCAGCACTAAAGCATTATCTTTCAGCATAACTCATGACTCAAGCTAATAAATTTAACAACTACTCTCAGCTCTAAATCTTAAGAATAATCAGAAATCCAACAACCTTGAAGATATTTGACCCTCCCCAGTCCACAACACAGAATTGATGGTTTCCAGACGCAGTATCAAATTTAAAATAGTATTGCACCAGTAAACCATTGACTGATGTACACACAACATAAATGCGTGGGATTGTGAGTGTGACATAACATTGATCTAAGTAAACCTCATAAACCAAAATCAAAACCAGTAAACCATTGCTCCAATTTTCTCAAAACACAAAAAATATTCCTGTATTTTGCTCTCATAAAACCCCACACTAATCTCATCTCATTTAAAACTATCCTAATCAGGTACCCTGATTGAAATTTATTTGGAGAAATTGATCAATTTTCGAATGGGTGACCTTATGAGTGTGCGACATAACATTGATCTAAGAAAAAAACCAAAATCAAAACTAATTTAGAAAACACCAAATCATGTGGAACTGGAAATGATAATGAGGGGCAGGCTACCCTGCTCAAAAGGAATTAAGCAGTGTATACGAAATAATTGCAAATGCATATTAAATATTCAGTGGTATTTAAATCACAGGTGTATACGAAATTCTAATGATCATAACAATATATCTTAGACCAAAACAATACATCATTTCGTCTCAAAAAACAATACATTATTGATCATAACAAAGGTTCTAAATTCTAATGAAAACTTGTATCAAAATTCGAATTAAGCAGTGTATTAAACAATAATGACAGCACAATAGTACGAAAATGCTCTCATAAATGAATTAAAGAATTCTAGATGTTGTGATGCCTAATTTAGGATAAGGTCTTGGCGTGAGACTATCAACAAAACAAATGATCAATGTTTAGAGGCGCTTACATGGATCTCACATCACAAAAATTAGAGCATGCACCAAAATTCACAACAAATATCACAAAAATTAGAGAATGCCCCAAAATTTGAGGTCCAATTCTCTAATTTACAAAGGAGAAAAACCAAAAATAAGGGTAACAAAATCACATTTCTCTAGTAATAAAAATTCAACAATATAGTAACAAAATTATTTTTACTGAATATACCTCAAAAAGCCAACGGCCCAATTGTTCCCTCCAACTATCCAAATTTCTGAAATTCACAAACACAACAAATCCATTAGCAATTTGACATGCTTAGTACAATCAAAATTCACAGGAACAAACAAAGGATTGAACAAACAAACTTTGCGAGCTAATTAAATATTCACACACACTGCACTCACACACACTGCATACACACACAAACTGATTAGACACAATGCACAACATTCACACACACAGTCACAGACACTCACACGCACACCCGCGCATACTGTGTCATATGCACACACACACATTCACACATACACTCCATGTGTATTACTTTGCACACAATATCTTTATCACACATACACTGTCATGAAAAACCATTTTGCAGATTTGACATCCATTATAGCACAAATTAGGGTTATGTTCGTATCTCTTCAATAATAATGTATATATTTCCACTTTAGCACAATTTTGACATCCATTCTAGCGCGTTACAAAAACTATTATCAACATTTGTGTATCAAGAGATAGGCTATATTCTTAATCTGGTATCAAAAAGGTGTTAATTTGGGCAAAAACATTTGTGTATCCTATAGTTTTTTAGCACAAATTAACTATCCATTCATTTTAGTATTTGCATTATCTACCCGAAACACAGTACCTAACCAATTTCATAATCAAATTCAGCAACGTATACATTTCCCTGGTGATTTTAGTTTACATTACACTTAATATAACATGGTTCTCTCTTTTTAAAGTACTTTGTATTAATTCTTTTGTGAACAGTTACTCAATAGCATCTGTCAATACTTCAAACAAGGAAGGAATCACTCGATTTACCCTTCTATATTGCATTTCAAGTTATACACTATACCTGAATGAATTTTCTAGATTGCATTTTCTATATGAATTCTGTATTTAGGCAGTAAACTGTTGGATATAACCAAGGTCCTAATTCCTAATCACTTTAATTGATCAAAGTGGCCAAACAAATCTTTTTGCAGTTTGTCTTTGAAAAAATCCTACTTGGAGTAAAAATGAACAATAGTAAGTTATAGCACAACCAGTAAATTGAATTCGACATACAAAAAAACAATTTGGCCACTGCACATATAACTCCATAAATTAATTACCACATCAACCTTGAGAGGTCCAACATGTCTAAAAGTCGCAAAAACTTTTCCATGTTCAGCTCTAATCACCTAAAAACACTGAAAAGCAGAGGAAAACATATAAATTCATTAAAATTAGGGTTATGTTCGTATCTCTTCAATAATAATGTATACATTTTCACTTTAGCACAATTTTGACATCCATTCTAGCACGTTACAAAAACTATTAACAAATACACTTCCAAAGCCCACACTTGTCCCAAAACCAGCAACCCAAAATAGGCCCAAATCGGGCCCAGGGCATCCAAACCTACAGACAATATTACCCTCCTAACTTTTAGTAATTACCTCAGCCCAACACAGATTTGGTGGCAGCAGTATGTAGAATAGATAATTTCGATAGTGTAGCTAACAGTTCACATCATTTTATACATGCTGAAGAATCTTCCACTATTTCAGGACTCAGAAGAAAGGATTGCAGACAAGAATACGTTGGCGAAGACAGGGAAGAGATGGAGTTACCACTGTTCGACTTGACCACCATAGCTAAAGCCACTAACAACTTTTCAAGCTGCAACAAGCTGGGAGAAGGTGGCTTTGGACCCGTGTACAAGGTAACATGAATTCATGCAACGAAAATTAGCTATATTGCTATAAATTTTTTAAGTCTTTTCGAAATGGTGGTCCACAGGGTACACTGATAGAAGGAAAAGAAATTGCAGTAAAGAGGCTTTCAAAGAATTCCGGACAAGGAATGAGAGAGTTCAGAACTGAAGTTATACTAATTGCCAGACTACAGCATCGCAATCTTGTTAAGCTTCTTGGTTGTTGCATTCAGAAAGATGAAAAAATTCTAATATATGAATTCATGCCTAGCAAAAGCTTGGACTTTTATATTTTTGGTATGATCCTTCATTTTCAACCTTATTTACCTAGGATTCAATGTGCCATTGAAATAACAGGCTTAAAGTTTTTTCAGACCAGGAAGGACAAAAATTGCTCGACTGGCCTAAGTGCTTCCACATTATCGGTGGAGTTGCCCGGGGGCTTCTTTATCTTCACCAAGACTCTAGATTAAGGATTATACATCGAGATTTGAAACCTAGCAATATTTTGCTAGATGATAATATGAACCCCAAGATTTCAGACTTCGGCCTGGCTAAAACATTTGGCGGTGAACAAAGTCAGGCCAACACAAATAGAGTGGTTGGAACCTAGTAAGCATGCTTAGACTTGTTTTGTGGTTTAAAATTTTCGTTGTTCTGCTTTTGAAATTCTTTCTCACTGGTCACTACATATTGATCTGGCAGTGGTTATATGTCTCCGGAATATGCAGCAGATGGAATTTTTTCGATGAAATCTGATGTGTTTAGCTTTGGAGTCATACTGCTCGAGATGTTGAGTAGGAATAAGAACAGGGGATTTCGTCATCCAGATCACGACCACAACCTTCTTGGACATGTAAGTTTAACCAACGAGGTGATGATATTTTACTTTAAAAAGAACAGCGAATTAGACGGTGCTCTTCGAAGCACGTCTTCTAATGACATGCATTTAACAGTATAGATGGTCTGCAGCAAAGCCCCTTTTACATATTAGCCCACTAACACATCATACATGTTTCAATTTGTTTTAAGGCATGGATACGATGGATTCAAGATAAACCACTAGAAGTGATCGATAAGACGTTTTGTGATTCATGCAACATATCTGAAGTGATAAGGTGTCTTCATGTGGGGCTGTTATGTGTGCAAAGAGTACCTGAGGATAGACCAAGCATGTCATCTGTGGTTCTGATGTTGAGCAGTGATGTTGCCTTGCCGCCTCCAAAGCAGCCTGGTTTCTACACTGAACGAAGCGTCCCTGAATCACCATCCAGGACGATTCTATGTTCAGAGAATACTTTCAGCATTACGTTGATAGAACCTCGGTAGATCATCATTGCGGTGCTTGTTAGTCCTTCAATCTACCATCACAAAACATGTTCGGAGGGTTGACGTGAAGCTTACAGCCTTGGCTGGGAAACAATGAGACCTGCGATTGTAACTCTGCAAGAAAAATATTTATGATTACAAGTTTATCAGTTCCTAAATCAGAATAAAGAAAGGACTTGGGGTTGTTAGGTGGTTGAAGAAAATTTAAGTTATAGCTAAAGTTGTGTTTACTATTTATTGATTTTATTTTATTATTTCATGATAATATAAAATTTATTGAGAAGGAAAGTAGATCCTGCACTTAGGTCTCGTTTGGGTATTTGATCAAGTCGCCGGAATTGAAACTCTAAGCCTGGTTCGAGATAGGTGTTTGTCATTTAAGTTTCTTTGGCAATCCTCTATTGGTAGAAAATCTTCAGTGCAGGCATTTGGACCACGTGACCATCTTCCCGCAAACACAAACATCGCACTAAAGTGAGGCAGCCGTACCGAAGTTTCTCTCTACTGTCGATTCAAGCATTGTCAACGCCTGTTCGGTCTGCCCATTATTCAAGCACCCACCAATAAAAGCATTCCATGAAGCACCATCCAATTTAACATCTACTCTTCTCATCCTACAAATTAAAGCTACACTTTTTTTTTTTGGAAGCACATCAACCATGCATGAGTAATGATCTGCATCGGGTTCTATTGAGTGATCCCTCCTCATTGAATCAAAACCATGATGCCTTCACCAACCAGCCGAGAATGGCTACAACCGCTCAAAACACCAGTGAAAGTAACAGAATTGGGCTTCACCCTGGAGTCTAAGATTTTTCTGAATAGCAACAAGGCTTCTTCTCCATTCCCATGCATCGAGTTTGCAATGATCATCGTATTCCAAGAAACTGTATCCCTTCTTGGCATCATATCAAAGACCCTCTGAGAAAGTTCCAACTCACCACATTTCGCGTACACAAAAACCAAAGCTGTTGTGGTAGCCAAGTCCTCCATTAAACAATTCCTAAAGATGTAACTGTGCACCTCTTTGCTTGCCCTCAAGCTCACCAAATCTTTGCAAACTGGTATCAAACTAGTAATTGTGATCTGATTGGGCTTAATTCCTGATTTTTGCATCTGTCCGACCATTTTCAGCGCCTGTTCCATCTGCCCATTATTCAAGCACCCACCAATAACAGCATTCCATGAAGCACCATCCAACTTAACAACTTCCTTCTCATCCTATAAAATAAAGTTACACCCTTTTCGCAATCTCTGTTCGAAAAATACGCAGTTAGAAGTACATTCCAGGACACGACATCTCGTTTAGACAATCTATCAAATACCAACTGAGCTTGTTTAATGCTCAGACAACTAGCATAGATATTTACAAGGGCGCTGCTAACGAAAACATTCTCTTCCATTCCATGTCTGACCACAAAATCATGAATCACTCTTCCCATATTCAAATCTTTCAACTCCGAGCAAGCAGATAGGATTGAAGAAACTGATACTACATTGGGTCTCACTCCATTCAACCCCATCTCGCGAAATGCCTCCAAACCTTGTCTAGGCATCCCACAGTTAACATAACAAGAACACAAAGAGGTCCAAGACACCACATCTTTCACTGACATGGCATCAAAAACCCGTCTCGCCCAATCAACATATTTACATTTTCCAAACGTATCGACCATTGCATTGCCCAAAGAGACATTCGAATAAAACCCAAATCGAATTGAATCATCGTGAAGCTCTTTAGCATTTATAACATCACCAAGAGCAGCACACGCCTTAGCAACTCAGAGAAGGAGATGATTATCGGGCACAATTCGCCGAGCTCTAAGCGAAGCGTAAAGATTTATGGATTCCTTGAGAACCCATGTCGCGTGTAGCCTGATATGAGCACGGTCCACGCACACAGGTCTGGGACGGGAATTTGATCGAACAGGTGGCGTGCACGTTGTAAAACGCCGGAATTACTGCATATTTTCAAGAACCTAAGGGTCAGGTGAGGCGGGACGTTGGTGGGTAGCTTTGAAAGCATGTGATATTATTGTTTTAATGGCTTTTGCATCTTGTAATCTGCAGGGAGAAGCTTCGAGTTTGCAAGTGCTTTTGAAAAGCAGTTGAGAAGTACCGTTTCTTCGCGCCAGGCAATAAGCGACAATGACTCTGTCTAGGCATGAAACGACACGCTTCGTGTGTTTATTAGCTTTATTTCAGGCATGGAACGACATTCCACCCGATTGCATTTTATATTGATTTGTTTGTTCATTTCCATTTTTGTAAGACTTTGTAATAGCCAAATAAAAAATAGTTTGCTTTTTCGTTTATGTTGTTAAAATTTCAATGTATAATAAATATTATAGTTCGTTTATTTATTAGATAATTGTTAAATGATTAAATGATCTTAGAGTTTGTTAAGTTTTAGTATATGAGAAATGCCAAAATTACTTTTAAAAGTAAGACTCTTCATAGAATCTATGCAACCTCATATTTTTTTAAACAATGTTATATAATGTTGGCATGAGAATTAAAAAGCGACTTAAAAAATCATTGTGCAACATTACAGGATGAAAATAGAGTGAATAATGTAGAATGAAAATTCAAATACAAAGATTTGAACACGTTTCTTTTTAAAGATTTGAACACGTTTCTCTTTGAGATTTGAACACGTAACCTCCCAAAATAAACTGAAAGCAAAATGCAATCAAATGATGATTTGCATAACCCTATGGATGATCATTTACTTTTGACACGTAAAAGTTTGACATGTGCACAAATATATTATTTATTTATTTTCTCAAATACAAACACATTTATTTTTATTCAAATACAGACACATTTAATGAATAAACTTGGCACAAAAAGTTGGTTCCCTTCACCCAATGATTTGATTTTCTCGGTAATACTTGCCATCATATTTGAGGTTGGTTTTATTAGCTAATGCTTGAATTCCATATAAGATTTGACATGCTTGATTGGTATTTTGTTTCTTTTGAAGATGAAAGTTATGTTTTCGTTTGTCTCTTTTAAAATTTGACGACTAAAAATTTAACGATCATGCGATTTCATATAAGATTTGACATGTTTGATTGGTATTTTGTTTCTTTTGAAGATGAAAGTTATGCTTCCGTTTGTCTCTTTTAAAATTTGACGACTAAAAATTTAACGATCATGCGATTTTATTAGCCGATTCATTCTATAATTTTCGCTAACTGATAATAAGTGAATTATTGTTTCATGGCACTTGGGAGAGAGGCATTTGTCATATGAATTTCTTTGGCAATCCACCATTGGACACGTGATCACTGTTATTATCAGCTGTCAACTTAGTTGGGTCTGAATTGTCAAAAGACCATAACTTTCTCTCCAAACCGAAGTTGGGTTAATTAAGAAACCCAAGTCTTTTGATTTACTTTGATTTTCTTTGGGCCAATGGTCCATCTTCTCTGCATAATTTTTGTATTAATTACTTTGGACAAAGAGTACGATCTCAGAACAACCATGCAATCATGCAAAGCCTTGAGAAGCTTTTTTATGTGCTTGCTCTTCTTATTCTCCCTTCTAAGAATCTCAGCTCCAACTGCACCGGGCACAATCACTCCGAATCGATATATAAGAGATGGTGAAACTCTGGTTTCGGTAGGTGGAAGCTATGAACTGGGATTCTTCAACCCTGGTAAATCGAAAAGCCGGTACTTGGGAATATGGTACACTCTTTCTACTGATGCAGTTGTGTGGGTAGCCAACAGAGAAAAACCACTTGGTGATTCTTTGGGACTTCTGAAGCTCACCGAGCAAGGAGTTCTGGTCCTCCTCAATAGCTCAAACAACATTGTGTGGTTATCAAATTCTTCAAGAATCGCGGGGAATCCAGTGTCGCAACTCTTGGATTCTGGAAATCTTGTGGTGCAAGATGAAAACGAAACTAACCCGGATGACTTCTTGTGGCAGAGTTTTGATTATCCTTGTCACACACAACTACCGAAAATGAAGATTGGTTGGGACTCAGTTACTGGTTTAGATAGGTATCTCTCATCTTGGAAGAGCACAGAAGATCCTGCTCCAGGAGAGTTTCTGATACGAATGGATTATCGTGGCTTACCACAAGTTCTTCTTATGAAAGGAGCTAAGATACAGGCTAGACCAGGGTCATGGAATGGCGTTTATTTGACAGGACTAGGATATGGTGTCCGAGAACCAAATCCAATATCTGCTTATGAATTTGTGTTGAACAAGGACGAGGTCTATTTTGAGTACAGCCTCCGAAGCATGTCAGTGTTCTCGAGAATTGTATTGAACCCATTAGGGGTCGCAGAGCGGTTCACATGGGTGTACCAAAAACAGAGTTGGGAACTTCTCGCTACATTCCTAGCAGATCGGTGTGAAAGTTATGCCTTGTGTGGTCCATTTTCTAGCTGCAGTATCGATAATAACTCTCCGATATGTGCATGCTTGAAGGGATTTGTACCAAAATCTTCGAAAGATTGGAATTTGGGATATTGGTCCGATGGATGTGTTCGAAGGACTCCGTTGGCCTGCAGCGATGGAGATGGCTTCATAAAGTACAGTGGGATTAAATTGCCAGACACATCAACCTCGTGGTTTGATAAAAGCACGAGCCTTAAGGAATGCAAGGGATTATGTTTGGGAAACTGCTCATGTACTGCGTGTGCAAATCTAGACATCAGGGAGGGAGGAAGTGGCTGCGTGCTTTGGTTTGATAACCTCACCGACATAAGAGAATTCCCTCCCGGCGGTGGTCAAGACCTCTATATACGGGTGGCAGCTTCAGAACGAGGTACGTCTTCGACCTTTATCTGCAGTATGAAAAACCTTTATCTGCAGTATGCAAAGTAGGGTTTAAATAAGTTAGTGTTAAAATCACAGTTACTGCAACACTACGAGATCACATGAAAAGTTTGTTTTAACACAGATATTTCAGATCATGCTAAGAAAAAGAGCAATTTCAACAAGAGACAGCTACTAGCAATTCTCCTCAGCTCTGCAGTTTTTCTCATTGGATTGCCAGTTGGAATGATATTGTGTATACGGAAGAAGAAACTCAGAAATGACGGTAACTATTTTCGGACAGATTAAAAATGCATTAGATAAGGTAGTTAGTATTTAACTAGCGATGGTGCTCACACGATGCTGCGGGTTTTTAAACCATATAAAACATATCAAAAGTTCCACGTATATATACGATATGCAATATTTATGCATGTGATTGATGTCTTCTTAACCATTAACAGAACAAACTGAAAAAATGAAAGTCAAAAACTACACTTAAGTATAAATATAATTGCGGTCTGCAAATTCATTTCTAAGTTCTACAACTGCCACTTATTCCAAAACAACTACTTACTCGTCCTCTCCATCCTCTTTCTCTCCTTCATAATCCTTGTCATTGTCTTTTTGGATTTTGGCAGCTAAACATGCTCATTTTAATATTCTCTGCATCCACATCATGAGGACCTTTTTGTACCTGAAGTTGCAGCACAATAATATGAGAAACATGACAATCTTCCAAACAAACAATGGGGTTTAAGGAACGCATTTCAGAATACTACATACCCAAAATGTTGATTCCAAGTTGAGCATATAGAGAGAATAAGCTATCCACAAAGTGTTAACCACCACGTGATATTGAAAGATGGTTTTGACGTGTTGGGTGATCCAGTAACTAATGCAAGTTCGAATCTGAGTTTAAATCCCTATCAGCACTAAAGCATTATCTTTCAGCATAACTCATGACTCAAGCTAATAAATTTAACAACTACTCTCAGCTCTAAATCTCAAGAATAATCAGAAATCCAACAACCTTGAAGATATTTGACCCTCCCCAGTCCACAACACAGAATTGATGGTTTCCAGACGCAGTATCAAATTTAAAATAGTATTGCACCAGTAAACCATTGACTGATGTACACACAACATAAATGCGTGGGCTTGTGACTGTGACATAACATTGATCTAAGTAAACCTCATAAACCAAAATCAAAACCAGTAAACCATTGCTCCAATTTTCTCAAAACACAAAAAATATTCCTGTATTTTGCTCTCATAAAACCCCACACTAATCTCATCTCATTTAAAACTATCCTAATCAGGTACCCTTATTGAAATTTATTTGGAGAAATTGATCAATTTTCGAATGGGTGGCCTTATGAGTGTGCGACATAACATTGATCTAAGAAAAAAAACCAAAATCAAAACTAATTTAGAAAACACCAAATCATGTGGAACTGGAAATGATAATGAGGGGCAGGGCAGGCAACCCAGCTCAAAAGGAATAGGCCTTTACATTCCTTTCCAATTTCTTTACCTAAATAATTGCAAATGCATATTAAATATTCAGTGGTATTTAAATCACAGGTGTATACGAAATTCTAATGATCATAACAATATATCTTAGACCAAAATAATACATCATTTCGTTTCAAAAAACAATACATTATTGATCATAACAAAGGTTCTAAATTCTAATGAAAACTTGTATCAAAATTCGAATTAAGCAGTGTATTAAACAATAACGGCAGCACAACAGTACGAAAATGCTCTCATAAATGAATTAAAGAATTCTAGATGTTGTGATGCCTAACTTAGGATAAGGTCTTGGGGTGAGACTAATCAACAAAACAAATGATCAATGTTTATAGACGCTTACATGGATTGCACATCATAAAAATTAGAGCATGCATCAAAATCCACAACAAATATCACAAAAATTAGAGAATGCCCGAAAATTTGAGGCCCAATTCTCTATTTCATAGAGAAGAAAAACCAAAAATAAGGATAACAAAATAACATTTCTCTAGTAATAAAAATTCAACAATACAGTAACAAAATTACTGTAACTGAATATACCTCAAAAATCCAACGGCCCAATTGTTCCGTCCAACGATCCAAATATCTGAAATTCACGAACACAGCAAATCCATTAGCAATTTGACATGCTTAGTACAATCAAAATTCACAGGACCAAACAAACTTTGTGAGCTAATTAAATATTCACACACATTGTACTCACACACACTGCATACACACACAAACTGATTAGACACAATGCACAACATTCACACCCACAGTCACATACACACTCACACGCACACCCGCGCATACTGTGTCATATGTAGGCACACACATTCACACATACACCGCCATGATAAACCACACTGCATCCACTTACACACTCGCACATTCCCACATACACTCCATGTGTATTACTTTGCACACAATATCTTTATCACACATACACTGTCATGAAAAACCATTCTGCAGATTTGACATCCATTATAGCACAAATTAGGGTTTTGTTCGTATCTCTTCAATAATAATGTATATATTTCCACTTTAGCACAATTTTGACATCCATTCTAGCACGTTACAAAAACTATTATCAACATTTGTGTATTAAGAGATCAACTATATTCTTAATCTGGTATCAAAAAGGTGTTAATTTGGGCAAAAACATTTGTGTATCCTATAGTTTTTTAGCACAAATTAACTATCCATTCATTTTAGTACTTGCATTATCTACCCGAAACACAGTACCTAACCAATTTCATAATCAAATTCAGCAATGTATACATTTCCCTGGTGATTTTAGTTTACACTACTCTTAATATAATATGGTTCTCTCTTTTTAAAGTACTTTGTATTAATTCTTTTGTGAACAGTTACTCAATAGCATCTGTCAATACTTCAAACAAGGAAGGAATCACTCGATTTACCCTTCTAGATTGCATTTCAAGTTATACACTATACCTGAATGAATTTTCTATATGAATTCTGTATTTAGGCAGTAAACTGTTGGATATAACCAAGGTCCTAATTCCTAATCACTTTAATTGATCAAAGTGGCCAAACAAATCTTTTTGCAGTTTGTCTTTGAAAAAATCCTACTTGGAGTAAAAATGAACAATAGTAAGTTATGGCACAACCAGTAAATTGAATTCGACATACAAAAAAACAATTTGGCCACTGCACATATAACTCCATAAATTACTTACCACATCAACCTTGAGAGGTCCAACATGTCTAAAAGTCGCAAAAACTTTTCCATGTTCAGCTCTAATCACCTAAAAACACTGAAAAGCAGAGGAAAACATATAAATTCATTAAAATTAGGGTTATGTTCGTATCTCTTCAATAATAATGTATACATTTCCACTTTAGCACAATTTTGACATCCATTCTAGCACGTTACAAAAACTATTATCAAATACACTTCCAAAGCCCACACTTGTCCCAAAACGAGCTACCCAAAATAGGCCCAAATCGGGCCCAGGGCATCCAAACCTACGGACAATATTACCCTCCTAACTTTTAGTAATTACCTCAGCCCAACACAGATTTGGTGGCAGCGGTATGTAGAATAGATAATTTCGATAGTGTAGCTAACAGTTCACATCATTTTATACATGCTGAAGAATCTTCCACTATTTCAGGACTCAGAAGAAAGGATTGCAGACAAGAATACGTTGGAGAAGACAGGGAAGAGATGGAGTTACCACTGTTCGACTTGACCACCATAGCTAAAGCCACTAACAACTTTTCAAGCTGCAACAAGCTGGGAGAAGGTGGCTTTGGACCCGTGTACAAGGTAACATGAATTCATGCAACGAAAATTAGCTATATTGCTATAAATTTTTTTAAGTCTTTTCGAAATGGTGGTCCACAGGGTACACTGATAGAAGGAAAAGAAATTGCAGTAAAGAGGCTTTCAAAGAATTCCGGACAAGGAATGAGAGAGTTCAGAACTGAAGTTATACTCATAGCCAGACTTCAGCATCGCAATCTTGTTAAGCTTCTTGGTTGTTGCATTCAAAAAGATGAAAAAATTCTAATATACGAATTCATGCCTAGCAAAAGCTTGGACTTTTATATTTTTGGTATGATCCTTCATTTTCAACCTTATTTACCTAGGATTCAATGTGCCATTGAAATAACAGGCTTAAAGTTTTTCAGACCAGGAGGGACAAAAATTGCTCGACTGGCCTAAGTGCTTCCGCATTATCGGTGGAGTTGCCCGAGGGCTTCTTTATCTTCACCAAGACTCTAGATTAAGGATTATACATCGAGATTTGAAACCTAGCAATATTTTGCTAGATGATAATATGAACCCCAAGATTTCAGACTTCGGCCTGGCTAAAACATTTGGCGGTGAACAAAGTCAGGCCAACACAAATAGAGTGGTTGGAACCTAGTAAGCATGCTTAGACTTGTTTTGTGGCTTAAAATTTTCGTTGTTCTGCTTTTGAAATTCTTTCTCACTGGTCACTACATATTGATCTGGCAGTGGTTATATGTCTCCGGAATATGCAGCAGATGGAATTTTTTCGATGAAATCTGATGTGTTTAGCTTTGGAGTCATACTGCTCGAGATGTTGAGTAGGAATAAGAACAGGGGATTTCGTCATCCAGATCACGACCACAACCTTCTTGGACATGTAAGTTTAACCAACGAGGTGATGATATTTTACTTTAAAAGGAACAGCGAATTAGACGGTGCTATTCGAAGCACGTCTTCTAATGACATGCATTTAACAGTATAGATGGTCTGCAGCAAAGCCCCTTTTACATATTAGCCCACTAACATATTATACATGTTTCAATTTGTTTTAAGGCATGGATACGATGGATTCAAGATAAACCACTAGAACTGATCGATAAGACGTTTTGTGATTCATGCAACATATCTGAAGTGATAAGGTGTCTTCATGTGGGGCTGTTATGTGTGCAAAGAGTACCTGAGGATAGACCAAGCATGTCATCTGTGGTTCTGATGTTGAGCAGTGATGTTGCCTTGCTGCCTCCAAAGCAGCCTGGTTTCTACACTGAACGAAGCGTCCCTGAATCACCATCAAGGACGATTCTATGTTCAGAGAATACTTTCAGCACTACGTTGATAGAACCTCGGTAGATCATCATTGCGGTGCTTGTTAGTACTTCAATCTACCATCACAAAACATGTTCGGAGGGTTGACGTGAAGCTTATAGCCTTGGCTGGGAAACAATGAGACCTGCGATTGTAACTCTGCAAGAAAAATATTTATGATTACAAGTTTATCAGTTCCTAAATCAGAATAAAGAGAGGACTTGGGTTTGTTAGGTGGTTGAAGAAAATTTAAGTTATAGCTAAAGTTGTGTTTACTATTTATTGATTTTATTTTATTATTTCATGATAAGGTAAAATTTATTAAGAAGGAAAGTAGATCCTGCACTTAGGTCTGGTTTGGGTATTTGATCAAGTCGCCGCAATTAACACACTAAGCCTGGTTCGAGATAGGTGTTTGTCATTTAAGTTTCTTTGGCAATCCTCTATTGGTAGAAAATCTTCAGTGCAGGCATTTGGACCACGTGACCATCTTCCCGCAAACACAAACATCACGCTAAAGTGAGGCAGCCGTACTGAAGTTTCTCTCTACTGTCGATTCAAGCATTGTCAACGCCTGTTCGGTCTGCCCATTATTCAAGCACCCACCAATAAAAGCATTCCATGAAGCACCATCCAATTTAACATCTACTCTTCTCATCCTACAAATTAAAGCTACCCTTCTCATCCTACAAATTAAAGCTACACTTTTTTTTTTTTTTTGGAAGCACATCAACCATGCATGAGTAATGATCTGCATCGGGTTCTATTGAGTGATCCCTCCTCATTGAATCAAAACCATGATGCCTTCACCAACCAGCCGAGAATGGCTACAACCGCTCAAAACACCAGTGAAAGTAACAGAATTGGGCTTCACCCCGGAGTCTAAGATTTTTCTGAATAGCAACAAGGCTTCTTCTCCATTCCCATGCATCGAGTTTGCAATGATCATCGTATTCCAAGAAACTGTATCCCTTCTTGGCATCATATCAAAGACCCTCTGAGAAAGTTCCAACTCACCACATTTCGCGTACACAAAAACCAAAGCTGTTGTGGTAGCCAAGTCCTCCATTAAACAATTCCTAAAGATGTAACTGTGCACCTCTTTGCTTGACCTCAAGCTCACCAAATCTTTGCAAACTGGTATCAAACTAGTAATTGTGATCTGATTGGGCTTAATTCCTGATTTTTGCATCTGTCTGACCATTTTCAGCGCTGCCCATTATTCAAGCACCCACCAATAACAGCATTCCATGAAGCACCATCCAACTTAACAACTTCCTTCTCATCCTATAAAATAAAGTTACACCCTTTTCGCAATCTCTGTTCGAAAAATACGCAGTTAGAAGTACATTCCAGGACACGACATCTCGTTTAGACAATCTATCAAATACCAACTGAGCTTGTTTAATGCTCAGACAACTAGCATAGATATTTACAAGGGCGCTGCTAACGAAAACATTCTCTTCCATTCCATGTCTGACCACAAACTCATGAATCACTCTTCCCAAATTCAAATCTTTCAACTCCGAGCAAGCAGATAGGATTGAAGAAACTGATACTACATTGGGTCTCACTCCATTCAACCCCATCTCGCGAAATGCCTCCAAACCTTGTCTAGGCATCCTGCAGTTAACATAACAAGAACACAAAGAGGTCCAAGACACCACATCTTTCACTGACATGGCATCAAAAACCCATCTCGCCCAATCAACATATATACATTTTCCAAACATATCAACCATTGCATTCCCCAAAGAGACATTCGAATGAAACCCAAATCGAATTGAATCATCGTGAAGCTCTTTAGCATTTCTAACATCACCAAGAGCAGCACACGCCTTAGCAACTCAGAGAAGGAGAAGATTATCGGGCACAATTCGCCGAGCTCTAAGCGAAGCGTAAAGATTTATGGATTCCTTAAGAACCCATGTCGTGTGTAGCCTGATATGAGCACGGTCCACGCACACAGGTCTGGTTCGGGAATTTGATCGAACAGGCGGCGTGCACGTTGTAAATCGCCGGAATTACTGCATATTTTCAAGAACCTAAGGGTCAGGTGAGGCGGGACGCTGGTAGGTAGCTTTGAAAGCATGTGATATTATTGTTTTAATGGCTTTTGCATCTTGTAATCTGCAGGGAGAAGCTTCGAGTTTGCAAGTGCTTTTGAAAAGCAGTTGAGAAGTACCGTTTCTTCGCGCCAGGCAATAAGCGACAATGGCTCTATCTAGGCATGAAACGACACGCTTCGTGTGATTATTAGCTTTATTTCAGGCATGGAACGCAATTCCACCCGATTGCATTTTATATTGATTTGTTTGTTCATTTCCATTTTTGTAAGACTTTGTAATGGCCAAATAAAAAATAGTTTGCTTTTTGGTTTATGTTGTTAAAATTTCAATGTATAATAAATATTATAGTTCGTCTATTTATTAGATAATTGTTAAGTTTTAGTATATGAGAAATGTCAAAAATACTTTTAAAAGTAAGACTCTTCATAGAATCTATGCAACCTCATATTTTTTAACATCTACTCTTCTCATCCTACAAATTAAAGCTACACTTTTTTTTTTTGGAAGCACATCAACCATGCATGAGTAATGATCTGCATCGGGTTCTATTGAGTGATCCCTCCTCATTGAATCAAAACCATGATGCCTTCACCAACCAGCCGAGAATGGCTACAACCGCTCAAAACACCAGTGAAAGTAACAGAATTGGGCTTCACCCTGGAGTCTAAGATTTTTCTGAATAGCAACAAGGCTTCTTCTCCATTCCCATGCATCGAGTTTGCAATGATCATCGTATTCCAAGAAACTGTATCCCTTCTTGGCATCATATCAAAGACCCTCTGAGAAAGTTCCAACTCACCACATTTCGCGTACACAAAAACCAAAGCTGTTGTGGTAGCCAAGTCCTCCATTAAACAATTCCTAAAGATGTAACTGTGCACCTCTTTGCTTGCCCTCAAGCTCACCAAATCTTTGCAAACTGGTATCAAACTAGTAATTGTGATCTGATTGGGCTTAATTCCTGATTTTTGCATCTGTCCGACCATTTTCAGCGCCTGTTCCATCTGCCCATTATTCAAGCACCCACCAATAACAGCATTCCATGAAGCACCATCCAACTTAACAACTTCCTTCTCATCCTATAAAATAAAGTTACACCCTTTTCGCAATCTCTGTTCGAAAAATACGCAGTTAGAAGTACATTCCAGGACACGACATCTCGTTTAGACAATCTATCAAATACCAACTGAGCTTGTTTAATGCTCAGACAACTAGCATAGATATTTACAAGGGCGCTGCTAACGAAAACATTCTCTTCCATTCCATGTCTGACCACAAAATCATGAATCACTCTTCCCAAATTCAAATCTTTCAACTCCGAGCAAGCAGATAGGATTGAAGAAACTGATACTACATTGGGTCTCACTCCATTCAACCCCATCTCGCGAAATGCCTCCAAACCTTGTCTAGGCATCCCACAGTTAACATAACAAGAACACAAAGAGGTCCAAGACACCACATCTTTCACTGACATGGCATCAAAAACCCGTCTCGCCCAATCAACATATTTACATTTTCCAAACGTATCGACCATTGCATTGCCCAAAGAGACATTCGAATGAAACCCAAATCGAATTGAATCATCGTGAAGCTCTTTAGCATTTATAACATCACCAAGAGCAGCACACGCCTTAGCAACTCAGAGAAGGAGAAGATTATCGGGCACAATTCGCCGAGCTCGCGAAGCGTAAAGATTTATGGATTCCTTGAGAACCCATGTCGCGTGTAGCCTGATATGAGCACGGTCCACGCACACAGGTCTGGTTCGGGAATTTGATCGAACAGGCGGCGTGCACGTTGTAAATCGCCGGAATTACTGCATATTTTCAAGAACCTAAGGGTCAGGTGAGGCGGGACGTTGGTGGGTAGCTTTGAAAGCATGTGATATTATTGGTTTAATGGCTTTTGCATCTTGTAATCTGCAGGGAGAAGCTTCGAGTTTGCAAGTGCTTTTGAAAAGCAGTTGAGAAGTACCGTTTCTTCGCGCCAGGCAATAAGCGACAATGACTCTGTTTAGGCATGAAACGACACGCTTCGTGTGATTATTAGCTTTATTTCAGGCATGGAACGACATTCCACCCGATTGCATTTTATATTGATTTGTTTGTTCATTTCCATTTTTGTGAGACTTTGTAATAGCCAAATAAAAAATAGTTTGCTTTTTGGTTTATGTTGTTAAAATTTCAATGTATAATAAATATTATAGTTCGTCTATTTATTAGATAATTGTTAAGTTTTAGTATATGAGAAATGTCAAAAATACTTTTAAAAGTAAGATTCTTCATAGAATCTATGCAACCTCATATTTTTTAAACAATATTATATAATGTTGGCATGAGAATTAAAAAGTGACTTAAAAAATTATTGTGCAACATTACAGGATGAAAATAGAGTGAATAATGTAGAATGAAAATTCAAATACAAAGATTTGAACACGTTTCTTTTTAAAGATTTGAACACGTTTCTTTTTGAGATTTGAACACGTAACCTCCCAAAATAAACTGAAAACAAAATGCAATCAAATGATGATTTGCATAACCCTATGGATGGTCATTTAGTTTTGACACGTAAAAATTTGACATGTGCACAAATATATTATTTATTTATTTTCTCAAATACAAACACATTTTTTTTTATTCAAATACAGACACATTTAATGAATAAACTTGGCACAAAAAGTTGGTTCCCTTCACCCAATGATTTGATTTTCTCGGTAATACTTGCCATCATATTTGAGGTTGGTTTTATTAGCTAATGCTTGAATTCCATATAAGATTTGACATGCTTTACTGGTATTTTGTTTCTTTTGAAGATGAAAGTTATGCTCCCGTTTGTCTCTTTTAAAATTTGACGACTACAAATTTAATGATCATGCGATTTTATTATCCGATTCATTCTATAATTTTCGCTAACTGATAATAAGTGAATTATTGTTTCATGACACTTGGGAGAGAGGCATTTGTCATATGAATTTCTTTGGTAATCCACCATTGGACACGTTATCACTGTTATTATCAGCTGTCAACTTCGTTGGGTCTGAATTGTCAAAAGACCATAACTTTCTCTCCAAACCAAAGTTGGGTTAATTAAGAAACCCAAGTCTTTTGATTTACTTTGATTTTTCTTTGGGGCAATGGTCCATCTTCTCTGCATAATTTTTGTATTAATTACTTTGGACAAAGTGTACAATCTCAGAACAACCATGCAATCATGCAAAGCCTTGAGAAGCTTTTTTATGTGCTTGTTCTTCTTATTCTCCCTTCTAAGAATCTCAGCTGCAACTGCATCGGGCACAATCACTCCGAGTCGATATATAAGAGATGGTGAAACTCTGGTTTCAGTAGTTGGAAGCTATAAACTGGGATTCTTTATCCTTGTCACACACTACTACCGAAAATGAAGATTGGTTGGGACTCAGTTACTGGCTTAGATAGGTATCTCTCAAAGAACTGTCAAGCACCATTACACGTGCCAATTCTTTCGTTGCTGCAAGCCAAACCCTTGTGGCGTTCATTGATTCAAGAACAATTACGACCCTCGAATCACCCACTCTCCTTCTGTACTTTTGCAATTCCGAGTCACTCACTCTACATCTATATTTTTGCAATTTTGAAAATCAAATTAGAGGATTCAAACCTTGCAAAAGAGTTTGTAATCTTAATTTTTCATTAATACAAATATAATTTTGTACATGTGTTATTGTGTCGTCCGTTATAAGAAATTTTGTGGTTATAGTAACTTCTTCTTTCGTTATGAATAAAATCTCCCTTGTACCGTCGAGGTTTCCTAGAAAAAACAAAAACGAATAAACTTGGCACAAAAAGTTGGTTCCCTAGAAAAAACAAAAACGAATAAACTTGGCACAAAAAGTTGGTTCCCTGTACCCCAATGATTTTGATTTTAGTACATACCATCTCATTTGGGGAAGACTTTGGCTTTTTTTTTTTTTTTTTCGTTCAAATTCATTTCCCTTTTAGCTGATGCTTGAATTCCATATAAGATTTGACATGCTTGATAGGTTTTTGCTTCTTTGAAGTTCAAAGATATGGTTATGTGTTTGTCTCTTTTTAAATTCGTTATCCATGAAATTCTATGAGCCGGTTCGTTGTACTAAGTGAATAATTGCTTCATGACAGCTGGAAGAGAAGTATTTGTCATATGAATCCCTTTGGCAATCCACCATTGGAGATGTAACCAATTTTATAATCAGCTGTCAACTTCGTTGAGTCTAAATTGTCAATACTCAATACTCAATGACTTCCTTTCCAAACCAAAGATGTTGGGTCAATTACGAAACCCAAGTCTTTTAATTTACTTTGATTTTTCTTTTTGGGTTCTTCCATTTGATTTTTCTTTTTGGGTTCTTCCATTCCATCTTCTCTGCATAATTTTTGTATTAATTTCTTTGGATAAAAATACAATCTCAGAACACCAATGCAAGCCTTGAGAAGCCTTTTCATGTGATTGTTCTTCTTATTCTCCCTCCTAAGAATCTCAGCTGCAACTGCACCGAGCACAATCACTCCAAGTCGACATATAATAGCTGGCGAAACTTTGGTTTCAGTAGGTGGAAGCTATGAACTGGGATTCTTCAGCCCTGGTAAATCGAAAAGCTGGTACTTGGGAATATGGTACACTCTTTCTACTGATACAGTTGTGTGGGTAGCCAATAGAGAAACACCACTTGGTGATTCTTCGGGACTTCTGAAGCTCACCGAGCAAGGAGTTCTGGTCCTCCTCAATAGCTCAAACAACATTGTGTGGTCATCGAATTCTTCAAGAATCGCAGGGAATCCCGTGTCGCAACTCTTGGATTCTGGAAATCTTGTGGTGCAAGATGAAAACGAAACTAACCCGGATGACTTCTTGTGGCAGAGTTTTGATTATCCTTGTCACACACAACTACCGAAAATGAAGATTGGTTGGGACTCAGTTACTGGTTTAGATAGGTATCTCTCATCTTGGAAGAGCACAGAAGATCCTGCTCCAGGAGAGTTTCTGATACGAATGGATTATCGTGGCTTACCACAAGTTCTTCTTATGAAAGGAGCTAAGATACAGGCTAGACCAGGGTCATGGAATGGCGTTTATTTGACAGGACTAGGATATGGTGTCCGAGAACCAAATCCAATATCTGCTTATAAATTTGTGTTGAACAAGGACGAGGTCTATTTTGAGTACAGCCTCCGAAGCATGTCAGTTTTTTTTCAATTTTTCAGATCATTTTAAGAAAAAGAGCAATTTCAACAAGAGACAGCTACTTGCAATTCTCCTCAGCTCTGCAGCTTTTCTCATGGGAATGCTAATAGTTGGAATAATATTGTACATCCGGAAGAAGAAACTCAGAAATGAAGGTAAGCATTTTCGGACACAATAAAAATGCATTTGATAAGGCAGTATTTAATTTCGATAGTGTAGCTAACTGTTCACATCTTTTTATCCATGCTGAAGAATCTTCTACTATTTCAGGACTCAGACCAAAGGATTGCAGAGAAGAGTACCGTGGAGAAGACGGGGAAGACATGGAGTTACCACTGTTTGACTTGACCACCATAGCTAAAGCCACCAACGGCTTTTCAAACTGCAACAAGCTGGGAGAAGGTGGCTTTGGACCTGTGTACAAGGTAACATAAATTCGTGCAACGAAAATAGCTACATTGCTATACAAAACTCAATTCTTTTCGAAATGGTGGTCCACAGGGTACACTGATAGAAGGAAAAGAAATTGCAGTAAAGAGGCTTTCAAAGAATTCCGGACAAGGAATGAGAGAGTTCAGAACTGAAGTTATACTCATAGCCAGACTTCAGCATCGCAATCTTGTTAAGCTTCTTGGTTGTTGCATTCAAAAAGATGAAAAAATTCTAATATATGAATTCATGCCTAGCAAAAGCTTGGACTTTTATATTTTTGGTATGATCCTTCATTTTCAACCTTATTTACCTAGGATTCAATGTGCCACTGAAATAACAGGCTTAAAGTTTTTTCAGACCAGGAGGGACAAAAATTGCTCGACTGGCCTAAGTGCTTCCACATTATCGGTGGAGTTGCCCGAGGGCTTCTTTATCTTCACCAAGACTCTAGATTAAGGATTATACATCGAGATTTGAAACCTAGCAATATTTTGCTAGATGATAATATGAACCCCAAAATTTCAGACTTCGGCCTGGCTAAAACATTCGGCGGTGAACAAAGTCAGGCCAACACAAATAGAGTGGTTGGAACCTAGTAAGCATGCTTAGACTTGTTTTGTGGTTTATAATTTTCGTTGTTATGCTTTTGAAATTCTTTCTCACTGGTCACTACATATTGATCTGGCAGTGGTTATATGTCTCCGGAATATGCAGCAGATGGAATTTTTTCGATGAAATCTGATGTGTTTAGCTTTGGAGTCATACTGCTCGAGATGTTGAGTAGGAATAAGAACAGGGGATTTCGTCATCCAGATCACGACCACAACCTTCTTGGACATGTAAGTTTAACCAACGAGGTGATGATATTTTACTTTAAAAAGAACAGCGAATTAGACGGTGCTCTTCGAAGCACGTCTTCTAATGACATGCATTTAACAGTATAGATGGTCTGCAGCAAAGCCCCTTTTACATATTAGCCCACTAACATATCATACATGTTTCAATTTGTTTTAAGGCATGGATACGATGGATTCAAGATAAACCACTAGAAGTGATCGATAAGACGTTTTGTGATTCATGCAACATATCTGAAGTGATAAGGTGTCTTCATGTGGGGCTGTTATGTGTGCAAAGAGTACCTGAGGATAGACCAAGAATGTCATCTGTGGTTCTGATGTTGAGCAGTGATGTTGCCTTGCCGACTCCAAAGCAGCCTGGTTTCTACACTGAACGAAGCGTCCCTGAATCACCATCCAGGACGCTTCTATGTTCCGAGAATACTTTCAGCACTACGTTGATAGAACCTCGGTAGATCATCATTGCAGTGCTTGTTAGTCCTTCAATCTACCACCACAAAACGTGTTTGGAAGGTTGACGTGAAGCTTACAGCCTTGGCTGGGAAACAATGAGACCTGCGATTGTAACTCTGCAAGAAAAATATTTATGATTACAAGTTTATCAGTTCCTAAATCAGAATAAAGAAAGGACTTGGGGTTGTTAGGTGGTTGAAGAAAATTTAAGTTATAGCTAAAGTTGTGTTTACTATTTATTGATTTTATTTTATTATTTCATGATAATATAAAATTTATTGAGAAGGAAAGTAGATCCTGCACTTAGGTCTCGTTTGGGTATTTGATCAAGTCGCCGGAATTGACACTCTAAGCCTGGTTCGAGATAGGTGTCTGTCATTTAAGTTTCTTTGGCAATCCTCTATTGGTAGAAAATCTTCAGTGCAGGCATTTGGACCACGTGACCATCTTCCCGCAAACACAAACATCGCACTAAAGTGAGGCAGCCGTACTGAAGTTTCTCTCTACTATCTATTTGAGCATTGTCAACGCCTGTTCGGTCTGCCCATTATTCAAGCACCCACCAATAAAAGCATTCCATGAAGCACCATTCAATTTAACATCTACCCTTCTCATCCTACAAATTAAAGCTACACTTTTTTTTTATTTATTTTTTATTTTTGGGAAGCAAGAAAAAAATATAGTAAAGGGAAAACTCCCGAGGACAACCGTTCCCTACAAAATCAAACTGAAGAGCATGAAGAGCAAATGAAGGAATACGGGATGATCCCAAATATGACAATCAGTAATAAGAAGGCCTTGGTGAGTGAAGGCATTCGCCACAAAGTTAGCCTTTCTAAAAATATGTTTCCAATCAATGCAAGCAAATTTGGTTGCCATCCACTTGATATCTTCAATAATAGGAATCAGATTCCACGGCTTTGCACCCCGGTTCAACACTAACTGAATGATCAACTTAGAGTCTCCTACCATAATCTTTGTATAGCCCTTCCTCTAAGCATAAAGAAGGTCCTCTTTGAGAGCCCTAGTCTCCACTTTAGAAATACTGGCACCGTCAATATTAAAAGCTCCACCGCCGATGAGTTGCCCAATATGATTCCTTAAGACAAATCCCGCTGCAGCCTTGTCCCCAGCCACTGAGCTGTCAAAATTTAGCTTAACATAACTTTGATCCGGAAGGTGCCATTTAATAATCATGGAAATATCATTAGTATTTCTACTTAAACCCTTACAATTGGCTTTAAGATATTGCTCACCCATAGATATAGCCAGTAAAAGTTACACCCTTTTTGCTATCTCTGTTTGAAAAATACGCAGTTAGAGGTGCATTCAAGGACACGACATCATCATCGTGAAGCTCTTTAACATTTCTAATATCACCAAGAGCAGCACACGCCTTAGCAACTGACAAAAGCAGAAGATTATCGGGCACAACTGGCCGAGCTCTGAGCGAATCGTAAAGATTTATGGATTCCTTGAGGAACCCATGTCGCGTGTAGCCTGATATGAGCATGGTCCACGCACGCAGGTCTGGTTCGGGAATTTGATCGAACAGGCGGCGTGCACATTGCAAATCGCCGGAATTACAGTAGATTTTCAAGAGCCTAAGGCTCAGGCTCAGGTGAGGCGGGACGTTGGTGGGTAGTTTTGAAAGCATGTCATATATTGTTTAAATGGCTTTTGCATCTTGTAATATGCAGGGACAAGCTTCGAGTTTTGCAAGTGCTTTTGAAAAGCAGTTGAGAAGTACCGTTTCTTGGCGCCAGGACAGGTAATAGCGGACGACATTCCACCTCGTTGCATTTTATTTTTGTTATTTTTCTTTTTTTGTAAGACTTGGTAATGGCTAAAGCTTAACGAACTTGAGATTGGGATGCCTTCCTTTTCGTCCCGCAATATTTGCATCATGATTCGAATAATTTATTTTTTAGTTTATTTATTTGAAGATCATCTTTATAAAAAATTATTTAAATAAAAAATAGTTTGATTGTCCAGTTAATGTTGTTAACCACAGCAAATGCCCTAGTAATAAGGGCACGGACTGCGGGTTTCCAATAAACAAAAAAATGTGGAGAGGTTATGAGTTTGATGTTCCGAATTGGTGAATCTACTTAACTGTAGCCACGGGCAGAGTGAAATTCCCGATAGCCTCTCTTGGTTCGAAAGGAGTGAATAACTGTGGTTTGTCACCCGTTGTTCTCCTTTTAAAAAAAAAAGTTAACATGGTTAAAATTTCAGTACTTAAAAATAACATAGTTCATCTATTTATTGGATGAGTGTTAAATGACGAAATGAATTCCGTGTTAGTTGATTTTTAGTAGATTTGACATTTATAGAGTGACTTAAAAAATTTACGGTTCAAACCATTATGTCCCATTACAAGATGAATAAGAGAGACGAAATGTGAACAAAAAATTTTCAAATAAGATTGCTAGCATTCCTCTTTAAAATTTGAACACGTGACCTCTCTAAATAAACTAAAAACAAGATGCTATCAAATGATCGTTTGCATAACCTTATGGTTTGAATTTCGACAATTCACCGTGGATGTTATTTACTTTTGACACGTAAAACTTTGACATGTGTACAAATACATTATTTTTTGTTTAAATGGCTTTTCACAGAAGAAATCGATGGCTTTCTTTATCCGGCGTACGTTCTATTGACAAGGCCGCCAAAGATTTTTCCGGAACTGTAGATTTGTGAAAACCTAGTTCAGTTTGGTTGCTTACAAGTTGTAGATATCAGCTTAGAGGGAAGGGTTGAGGTTCGTCATGTATCTGATTGATCTGAGTTGATCTCAAAACTTAGGTCAAACTCGTCAAGAATATCGACTGCTTGGGCCATATTGTGACATGATTCTATACGTAATAGTCTGAATTATATGCTGGACAGACATGAATAGGGGCTTGTTTGACACCTCCAGTGCAGTTGGGCAGTGCTTAGGTTCGAACGCCTCGTCTCCTAGGCCTTTGAAAACCCCGATACCCTATCTTCGCAAAAAAACATAATCATGCTTATTTACGAAGCAAAGAAATTAAATAAGTAAAAGTTTGAAACAGATCTCCGAGTTTTGTTCTTCAAGTAGTGCCCACATGTAGTTTGAAACAGATCTCAGAATAGCTGTTAGACTTAATTTATGAAGAAAACTGAAGAATGCAAGTTCTCTCTAGAATTAAAGCCTTTCATAAAATAATTAGCTTCAAGTAAATAAAGTAAAGAGTCTAGAGCAAAACTTCTTTGTCTTGAACTTGTTCAACGCTGCCCAGTTCCAAAGCCTGAATATATATGTCAATGGTCATAAAGAATGCATCTCCTATTCGTTTTCCTTTCTTCCCTCATCTATCGATCTACACCAAACGATTGAACAGCCTGTCGGAACTGAGTTTCCAAAACTTCTTGGCCCTAGAAACGACTTGGCCATAATCTTTTTGTTTTCCCTCGTTTCTATCCCGGTAAATCCCCAAAGTCGTACTACATAACCAGTCTTTCCACTGTATTCGGACTCACTATGTGTCTCAGGTGCAACTCTTTTAAAACTCTGGCTGCCAGTTCCAGTTCTCCTTCGTGCGCAATCCCTTCCACGAGAATGGTGTAGGTCATTTCGTTAGGAATATGCCCTTTGTCGATCATCATCTAAAAAACCTGGAAGGGCAAGTCTGATCTTCGAGACTTACAGAAACCGAGTATAAGAGCATTGAAATTGTCCGTATCAGGCCTAAGGCTGTTTTCTTCCATTACCTTGAAAATCTCCATGGCCTCATCCAGCATACCCTCCAAACACAATCCTCTGATCAGAGATGAATACGAATAAGAATCAGGAGTGAAACCGTGCTTGGTCATTTCGTACAATATCTGAAACGCTGGAAACGTGTTCCCTTTCCGACATAAGCTTGTGATTACGTTTTTGTACAACTCGTAGCCGGAGCACTTTTGTTTATTGCAGAGGCTTTGAATGATAGAGAATGCCTTTGGCACCAAACCTTCCTCACAGAGCACAGCAATGGCATTGAATGTTCCCTCACTAGGATTACACCGCCGATGAACCATTTGGTCTGGACACATAATAGCACCATCCACGTTCCCCTCTTTGCAGAGATGAGCAACGATCGGATTGTAGCTGGCAGTAAAGATGAAGATGCCAAGTCATAACAACATATGGTTATTAGTTTGTTATAGTTGTGTTGTAAATTATTTTGTTTTGGTTTGTTAGAGAGAGAATAGTCGAAGGCTATATATTAGTGGTTGTATTATTCACTTGTTAACTAATGAGAAACATACTTTTCTTAGTCTCTAAGAAAAGATTTTAGAGAAAGTCTTGAGTTTCTATATGGTATCCTTCGCCTCCTGCTTTTCGGCCTTCTCGATCCTTATCGTCTTTGCTTCGCATCTCTGATTTCTTGATTATCTTCAAGAATTTTCATCTCAGTTGCCATGGCTTCTCCTTCTGATTCATCATCTCAACATGAATCGCTTCAACATCCTGTCCTCAATTCCTCTTCTCAAAACCCTAATTTCACAAATTCGTCAAATTCGTATGCATCTCTTACGATTCAGAACATTGGGAGTATGGTACCAATCAAGCTTAAACACTCCAACTACCTTCCATGGTGTGCACTGTTTGCACCGATTCTTCACTGCTACAAGCTTATTGGAATTGTTAATGGAACTGAGGTGTGTCCACCTTCCTTTCTCCCAGGTCACTCCATCAACCCTGCCTTTGAGCTTTGGTATGAGAAATATTAGAATCTTCTGATCTGGTTAAATTCTACACTTTCTGAAGATGTAATTCCCTTTACTGTTGGTGTATCTTCCTCTAGCGATCTCGGGATCAAGCTTGAGCAACGTTGTGGTGGTGTTTCTGATGCTCATATTCATCAGCTTAGATTTTGTCTCCAAGCCATATAGAAAGGCTCTCAATCTATATCCAATTATCTACAACAGTTGAAAGAGATCTCTGATTCTCTCTCTGCAAATGGAGCACCAATCTCTGATCGCGATTTAATGGCGGTAACACTGGCTAGTTTACCAAATGGGTTCGAATCTTTCATTGATTCACTTATGCTTCATTTTCCCTTCACTTCTTTGGATGAATTACATGGCATTCTTCTCACAAAAGAACTTTCCATGTCTCGTCGCAAGAAGATCTCATCAATTACTTAACCGTTTTAAGCGTTCTCTGTGCAATCACAAGCACCTCTGCTTTTGACTCCACCACCTCAAGCACTTGCCGCTTAAAATCAATTCTTACATCAAAATTCTTCTCAATTTCACTCTAATTGTGGAAGAAACAGCAATCAGGACATCAATTCACCAACAACAATCGTTTTTATCACAATTGTGGTTATCAGGGCAATTTTCGTGGAAATTCTTTAAATCGAGGTTATAATCAAGTGGTTTCGTGGTTCTAATTTCTCTAGAAATCATATCATCTGTCAGATTTGTGGTTCCACCAGTCATGAAGCCATTGATTGCTTCGATTGCATGAATCCTGACATTTTTGAAAGAATTCCACCTGCAAAACTGGCAGCCATGTGTGCACATTACAGCTCCAAACCATCCTCTTCTTGGCTCATTGACTCTAGTGCCACTTCTCATATCACAAATGGCATTGCCAACATCACTTCACCTACATCATACATTGGAGAGGACAAAGTCTACATTGGTGATGGTAAAGGTCCGTTTATACAACATAATGGTTCTTCTTCATTGCATACCTTTAATGCTGCCTTTAAATTGTGCAATGTTCTTCATGTTCCAAAAATGAAGCATAATCTGTTGTCTGCTTATTAGTTTGTTAAAGATAACTACTGTGCATTGACTCTTGATTTTGATGGATCCATTGTAAATGATCATTCTATGGGGAAGACGCTTTTGCAGGGTCCAGTTAAGGATGGTTTTTATCCTTTACAAAGCTCTTTTTCCCCTGGTTTATCCTCCTTCAGCTCTTCTCATGCTCTGGTGAGTGTTCAAGCTCCTATCAGGCTCTGGCACAGTCGGCTAGGCCATCATTCTTCTTCTATATTTTGTAGACTACTATATACTAATAAACTTGCAGTCAAAGGAACAACAACTGTGGATTTCTTTTGCTCTGAGTGTGCTATAACAAAGAATCACAAGTTACCCTTTGGTTCTTCCACATCATGAACTACTCATAACTTAGAATTGTTACATTGTGATTTTTACTCTTCAATAAGTGGATTTAAGTACTATTTCCTCATAGTTGATGATTTCAGCAAGTATAGTTGAATGTTTCCTTTAAAGGTTAAGTCTCAAGTGTATTCTACTTTTGTACTCTTCAAAAACTATGTAGAAAACACAACTGGAAATACAATCAAAACTGTACGTTCTGATTTTGGGGGTGAGTTTACAAGTCTATCTTTTAAATCTTATCTTCAAACTCATGGCATTCTTCATCAATTAAGCTGTCCACACACACCGGAACAAAATGGTTGTGTGGAAAGGAAACATCACCATCTAGTTGAGATAGCTAGAACTTTATTGGTTCAATCCCATGTTCCTCATCAATACTGGGTTGAAGCCTTCACTACTACACTATATCTCATTAACAGATTGCCAATCTCTGGGATTTCACAATCACCTTGGGAATTATTATTTCATACAGTTCCAAATTACTTAAGGCTTAAAGTCTTCGGTTGTTTGTGCTTTCCATGGTTAAAACCTTATGTGTCATCCGAACTTGATAGGAAAAGTAAAAGATGTATTTTCTTGGGATATAGCCTACAACATAAAGGTTGTAGATGTCTAAATGCAGCAACACAAAGGGTTTATATTTCAAGACATGTAGTCTTTGATGAGACTACATTTCCCTTTCATAATTCTCATCACCCTGTGTCTTCTATTTCTACCCCTACATCTCAGCCTATTGATTTGGAGTTTTCTCTACCCTCATACATTTCATCCAATGCTCCATCTTGTGCTTCAACTCTTCATCTAGTTTGTATTGAACCCATCTCCATTGCTTCAATTGTGCCAAGTGATATCACA